CATTAAGATCAGGAAATTTTTCCTTACCCAAAATCTGCACCCGAATGGGGTCAAATTCAGCATTAAGGCCGGCTAAGAAATCAAAGATCCTATCCCGCTCAACAACAGTATTCAAGGTGGCAGTATCCTTGCTGCACTCCATCTTCAAATTCTGATATTGATCCAACTCAATCCAAAAACCATTGAGAACTCCAAAGTAATCGTTGACCGAAAGACTTCCCTGCTTAGTGTTGAATATTTTCCTCTTTAAATCATAACAAGCAGACATATCTTGTTTCATGGAATAACTTCGACGAAGATAATCCCAAACTGCCTTTGCACTTGAGAGATACATGCAATTTCTACTAATTTCTGGAGATATGGAGTTCCAAAGCCAAGTAATAATAGCAGAATCATCTTTATCCCAGGAAGAGAAATTAGGAGCAGTAACCAGAGGAGGATTGCCTTCAATATGATCTAGCATGTCACAACATTTTAGAGTGTGTCTGATGAACTGAGACCATTGAAAATAATTTTTTCCGGTAAGCCAGTAACCTTTTTGAACGACAAAATCCTTAGCATTAAATGAGACTGGTGGATTTGTGGGAGGTGGAGGCGGAGGTGGTTGTTGGTTAATAATCTCGGCCATTGAAGGGACAATCGAGAGGAACAAACAGCAGATATGTATTGAATCACAAAGAAACCAAAAAACAAGCAGTATGGTTGCAATAGAACTGCAATAGAATGAAAAAACAGCAATGATCCAAACACCCAAAAAAAAAACTGCAAGGATGACCGGCAGTGGAAAAAAGAAAAAAAACACCGTTACAACGGCGGCTAGGGTTTATGCGGAAGCGAGACCCCCAAAAAACAGGAGCTCTGATACCATATTGTAAAATATTTCACTGATAGAATTAAAAGTTCTATTTACAATGTTGCAACTACATGCTTTAAATAAGAGAGAATAGAAAACCTAATGGGTTTTGACTAATGGGCCTCATTACTAATACTACTAATTACTATTTACAGTCTAATATTTACAACATGCATGAACTTTAGCTAGCTGCCGTCAGACAAAACTAAATTAGTCTAAGTAAGTCAAAAAAAGAGGTCTGCACTTACATTATTGTTGTATACATTCAGATTTTTATGAGATACTGCATACATTTTTCCTTTATTGTATGGTCGTCCATCTCTCAATTTCTACAAATAAGCACATATATTAATTATTTGTACTGTTAGGCATACAATCAACAATATATAGATTTAGACATACCAACTCATAACGCTTCCTTGCCAACGAGTTAAATTCGAGTGTATGCGGATTTTTCAATTTTTCTCTATTTTGGACTTTTTTTTGCTATTTTCTATACATTGGTAACAAATAAATACGCACATTATAGATATAAGATACAATGCATTACATATATATTAAAAAAACAAATATACGAGTTAAACACTAAAATTACATGTGTTTCTTCTTTCTCCCTATATTGAACAAAAACAACCCAATCATTTTCGTAAATGCCTTTTGGATAATTTAGAAGCTTTTCCTCCAATGTGAGATCCCATCTATAAAATTTATGAAACAAATGATGTCAGTCATCCCTCCATTTCTTTGCAGCAGAAGCAAGTATGAAATCTTTGTCACGCCCATCATCAACAAGAAAATGAAGCTAACCATAAAAATAAAAATTAGTTGACAACGCAAATAATAATCACCATAAAATTAATTTTAAAAATATGTAGTTGTTTATTAATGATATCTTTATCTTTACATCATAAAACTTTGTTTTTCTATCAGTTGAAATTTTCTTCCAATTTTCGAACATAATGGGCAAGTCTATAAACATTCTAACAACTCTACCCAAATACCCCGCTAACAAACGAGAAGCCGGTCTTACTGCGCGATGGCTTTTATCCCATTCAGTATTATTCATGTTCCATCTGATTATGTTTTCGCAACCAAGTCTTGTACACATAAACGTGTGTTTGAAATATGACACACATCATCTATCACAAAAAGTTAGCAAAATAATATTATAACTCAACTATATGAAACATTTAAATCATTTAAAGATATTGTAACCTTAAATTACTTACTAATGACATTTACATTCCAATACTCAGAATTAAGCACTTGAACAACGTCTTCGTTCTCATGTTCTACCACAACATCTTCCGAGTGAAGGGATAAAATGTCATGGTGAGGAAATGTCTCGGAAGAAGGTGATGGTTATTGTAGTTTGGATTGGCGGAGGAGGTTATTGTAGTTTGGATTGGCGGAGAGAGATTTGACTTTTGGATCGGCTGAGAGGGATTTGTAGTTTGGATTGGAGGTGGGATTATTGATGATTTTAGAGTTGTCACTGAACGGAACTCAATAACAGCAGAAGGCAAAACTGATCCTAACATGAACACAGGACTTTCGGTTCAAAATTGCAATGTTTTGCCTTTTGGAAACTTGTGTTCGTTGAAGGTGATATCATTTGAGATGTAGAGTTTACATAAGAGGCAAGACACCTACCACCTTTGTGGGATATTTAGTATCCTTAAAATACACTTGCCAGAAAAACCAACTCCATATGAGTGTTGTCAATTGGAGATGGCGGAAAATAACAGCTTACTCAAATCCGCTATAGGCGCTATTAAACGAATCTTTCATTCTCCAAAATGGCTCGCACTCTGTTCCACGTTGAAATTTCAATGCTATATAATATTACCGTGCCAATGACTCTACTCTAATCAAACTACATTGATTCAAATCTCACACTCACAAATCACACACTTACCATTCTGTTCACAAAATTGTTATTCCCTCCGTAACAGATCCAACAAGTAGTTGCATCGTCGCCGACAACTCTCCGATAAGCGATCAACCTCTTTGTCACTTTTTGTTTCCGATAAGAATAATGCGAACACGCTTCTGCATTGTGTACAAATTAATACAACTATAGCTCGTGTTCATTGACAATATTTCCAATGCTCATGTTTAAGCACTATTTTGATTTGAATCACAGTTTAAACATGAGAATTGGAAGATATTTACAGTCTAGGTATTCATGTTTATGAAGTAGAAGATATTTACAGTCTAGGTGTTCATTTGGCATCATTTCATCACAGTTTTCATTTAGCGATTGATCGGAGCAGCGGTGGTATGGCTAGAGCACTTCTCCTAACAGTGTGCTAAATCCCACCCAAGATACAAGCACCAACTACACCAGAAAATCAAAATCTACAGTAATAACAGCTAGAAACACATCTCCTAACAACAAAAATTGTAATCTGCATACTTTTTAGAAGATGGTTTTAACTTTTTGTTTTGCTGAATCCCTTATTTCAATATCTATGTTTATTGAGAATAGGTTTTGACTACGAGTTCTTATCGATATAAGCAAGATAGATATGACAACCACTGTGTGCAATCATGTCAATAACATTAGAAACATATTCAGCTCAAAACCAACACTGCGAAACTCATTGTAACCTTTCAATAAACACCTTGTTTTCAAAATCAAAGCATGTACCAATAGAGTAACTAAAACCCATCAAAACCACATGAAATGCTATTAAGAGAAACAACTCAAGCAAAACAACTGAAAAATAAGTACTCCATATGCATGCAATACCTCTAATTTTAAGTTTAACCCAAAGCCTAAAAATGATTTTCTTTTTCTCAACAAAACACGAACAATAACAGATTTCATAACTGTCCATCGACCAGAGAAGTGACAATAACAGGAATTTGCATATTAGGGATTTAGAAGGAACCTGTTAAGATACCAAGGCGCGATGGTGGCTACATGAAAGTAGTACGTGAAGCATTTTCTCTGCGTATGCGTTAGGGCTCTTGTTCAAAGTTGTAGTCTTTTGTTGTCAAAAACAAAACTAAAAACGTTAGTCTTTATACTTTCCAACTTGGCGCAATATTAATCCTAATTTTGCAAATATTTTATTATATTTGGGTGATGACGGTTGTTACCCATCGCAATCTATATAGGCGATTGGCACCAAATCGGTGTAGATGTTTATTAGTATTTTAAAAATTCAAACGAAGGTTGGCCAAAAACGTCGCGGCACCCTCGTAATTCACGAATAAGGGACTGTTCTCATGGAACCGTCGCAACCTATGTGTCCGCAAAATACTTTTTTTTCTTATAGTGTCAGGAGTTAGAAGCCTTCAATTCTAATGAGAAGAAACATTAGAATGGAAGGGATGCAACTGTTTTAATAAGTTTGGCAACTTTGCTAAGGACTGTTGGTCAAACAAAGGAAATCAGAAGAAGCAAACATAGCCAGAAGAGATTCTGACGACGGACTTGTGTTATTGACAACTTAAGAATTTGATGATGATGAACCTCTGCGATTGACGATTTTTGATTCTGAAGGAGACTGTGAATATGAGTCTGAGTCCAAAGATGACTCTGAATCTGAAGTCTGGGTTTGATTTTAAATGAGTTAGAATCAAAAGATGACTCTGAAGTTGAAGGTTCTAAAGAAGAGCCAGAATCTGAGGGTTCTGAAGATGAGTCACAGTTAGAAGATGACTCTGAAGTTAAAGATAAGTCAGAGTCTGAAGGTGGCTCTTAAAATGAAGAAGACTCTGAAGACGAGTCTGATTCTGAAGGTGAATAGGATTCACTTAAAATATCAATGATAAAGGAGTTAAGTGAAAAATATTCTATAAAAAAATTTAAGTGAAATTATAACATTCAAATAAAATTTCAGAAAACATCACAAGATTCATATAAATACATGAGAAGAGATGATAAATTAATCAAATTATCTCAAATTGTAGTTTTCACAAAGATAATAAAATCAACTATAGAGTATTATAGACAAACCATTACATTCAATAGCTTGGTTTCTTTAACATATTGCAGAAGTACTAAACAAGTAACAATTTTTCATCTTTAATCCTTCCTATAAAGATCAAGCAAACTCCACACACAGAACATTATACACAACCAAACAAAGTTTGAGAATGACAAAATTCAGAACTGCAAGCCCAAAAGCATTGTTTACACAACTTCAATCAAATCATCATCCGTGGACCGAACATCCTACAAGGAAAAACCTAAATATCAAACATAATTCTCAGAGAAAACTTTGTAGAAACTAAAATTCATTATCATAGAAAACCACTTACCATGTTTTCTTTTTCTCCAGCACTTGTACTAGGACTAGCAGAAACTGTATCAGAGCAAAAAGGTATTAGACAAACTTAACTATAAAAAATCTCTTGATTGTGTCACAAAAGAAAAACTGCCGCACCTTCTTTACCATCAGCTTTCTTTCCACGTTTCTTGACTACACTCTTACTGGTTTGAAGCTTACTGGGCTTCTCGGATTTTTTAACTGACCTACTATTCCTGATATCAGAAGCAGTTTTCGAATTTGCAGAGTTCATTCTGAGATTCTCTCTCAACTTGGATCCAAGATTTTTCTTTTGGTTAATTTCCTTCTTGGTTGGCTCTGTGATGGTAACAGGAGGCGTAGTAATTAGAGGAGAATCAGTGTTTAAGCATTTTGGGGTCAGTTTACCAGTACCCATGATAGAAGAGGAGTATTGCACTTCATCATCAGTAGATCGAGATCCCTCTTCTGGCATCTGTGAAATACTTTCAGAAACTTGAGGTTGCTCTATGATTTCAGAAACTTGAGGTTGCTCTATGATTTCAGAAACTTGAGGTTGCTCTATGATTTCAGAAACTTGAGGTTGTTCTATGGTTTCCGCAATGTTATAGCTTTCTACCAGTTCTTTCACTCGTTCTCCATGTTCATCAAGCTGGTGTCGGCGCAAGTAAGACTTCAGCTCATCTTGTAATTTCTGGAAGGGCTGTGGTTGAAATTTCACAAGGAAATCATAAAACAGAAATAAAGACTCTGATTAATGGGAAAACAAGTAAGGTTCACACATATAAATAAAAAAAATAAAAACTAACTAGCAAAGTTTTATAACACAGAGTAAACCACTGCAGTAGCAATATCATAATTTTGAAATGTATCTGCTACTACTGCTGTTGCAACAATGATTGAGGTTGCCTTATATTTTATTTTAGTTTTGAAAACTCTGGTATGCGACCTTGAGACCAATTAATCCAAGGGGACCAATCCCACCATCCACTGTCAGGGCTTCATTAAAACCCAGAACAAAGCTCTATACCAACCGGTCAAACACAAAGATTGTTAACATCTAGCGGGAGTCAAACTAGACACCTTAAAAATAGCATAATTTCAAGACCCAAGTCTATCCCAATGAATTATATAATTGTAATTCATTGTAATAATATTAAAGATTGCGGCACAATTGCAACTGAACTTACATCAATCACATTCATATTAAAAACTCACTAAATACTAATATATCCATTGTAAAGTTTAAAAAGTTGACAACTGAAGCAAACATAAATGAATTAATGGTTGTGTTTTACCTCGCATCCTGCCTCCAAGGCTAATTTGAAGAAACCAAGTGAAATGTTGTGCTTGGCAGCACTTTCAGATAGCTTAATTTGGTTCAACCAATATGAAGCCGAAGACAAGAGACTAAACTTCCGAGCAGTTGATCTAAGAATGTCAGAAACAGGTGTTTGGACTCTGGTTTGAGGCCCTTGGCCATTACCAGACCTCCTTGATCTTGTCTCTGAGGTTGGGGTTATGTTGGCAACCGCCTTTGGACTTGGAGTGGGAGATGCTTTGACAGGATTAGAGAGCCTTCTTGGCGGTTTAGCACTGGAGGATTTGCCCTTAGCAGAGAAATCAAGAACTCCCACGCTTTTGCTTACAATGGGAGTATTTCTTCCTCTGAAAATGTAAATGAGGTTTTTCTTTTCACAATAAGTATTCTATTTCAATTCACTCACACAATTAAAGAAAAATACATTTGTTTCATGATGTCTTAGGAAGAGGCAGTGCAAACAATGAAACAATTAAATTCGAGTTTCCTATATGAATGAAAATTGGTGATATTTATGTCATTTTTGTAAAACGGAAGTAAATTTCGGTATAAAATTCATCATTAGACTCAAAAGCTACAAACCCTAATTTCAACTAAAATTGATATTGAAAAACATAATCAATTCTACTTGAGAGCAACCAAACATTTCAAAATCATTACGCATAAAATAGCCTATATTGTTTAAACTACACTATATAGAATCAAAATCAAGTTCATATAAAATCAAAACCAAAATCAAAATCAAATTCATAAAATCAAAATCGAATGATTATAAATCAAGTTCCTCTACTTTCTCACAACAAACAAACTCAAACAATCCGAGTAAAAATACTTTTAGTCTTCATTCTGAAAGAAAAAAAAAAGAGCGAAATTCAACAAAAATCGAGAAAGTACCTCTTAGATTCAGAAGGATTGATGCTATTAGATGCCTCTGCCTTCGGTTCCTTCAACTTATTCGACGAACGCAGCGGATATCTCAGAAGTTTAGATCTCGATCCAGAGTTCCCTGAACAGAAAAAAAAAAAAAAACAGTTGAATTTTTCTGCACTGTATGATGATAAAATCAATCTGTTAAGAAAAAAAAAGAGAGATTGAGATTACCAGAAAAATCAACCGATGATTGTTCGTTGATAACTTCTTCCATAGTTTTTTTTGCTTCTTGTGAATTAAAGAAACGAAAGTTAGTTTTTTTAGTGAGAAGAAGATGGTAATGAAAAGCATGAAAACGAGTTTGAATTTATAAAGGGTGTGTGTGACTTTTACACGTGTTAAGGGCTTTGAGCGGGAAAGGGTGAAACTCAAAATTTGATGCCACCGACTAAGCGAGCGTGCTGACGTGGACTAATGGGACCCACTTTCTTTCTTATATTCGAGTTTTTGAAATTCAAAATGAAAGAGCTGTTTTTGTTCCGTTGTGTTTTGGCCTAAAACTGCTTTACGGTTCGTTTCATGATAATAACGGTTATCAAACCCGTTGTCTCTTATGATTGAACCTTCAAAGGACATTAATCCGTTGCTGTTATCTTTTTTTTTTTTAACGATAACAAAATTCATTTTTCTCTTGCTCTTTTCCTTTTTCACAATTTTATTTATTTATTTATTTAAATAATTAAACATGTTTTTTTCTTAAATATCAAAATTTACTTTGTCTTTCTAAGTTTTTTTAGTGATAAGACTTATATATTGCTTACTTAATAATTTTACTCTCTTTAAATATTTTAATTTTAATTTCTTTATAATTTTTCATCAAATTTTGATCATCTAAAAATATTTTTTCTGGTAGTAAGTCATTCAATGATGCAGCCAAACGCATGCTATCTTAAGTCGGATCCAAATACGCATGAATTAATTTTGGAATTATTGATAATTTGATTAACCGCATAAAATTAAAAGTAATATATATATGAAGTTATATGAATCTCAATCTCACTTTTAAATTCTAATAGATATAAATTATATAATCTATTTTAAATTTGTTAGAGCATCTCCAACAGTGAACTCATTTTTGGGTTCTTTGTGGGACCTATTAAGTCATGTCAGCTTGAAGCAACTCAACTAATTTTTCAATCCAATGGTGCAATTCTGAAGAACTCATATTTGGTCCCACAAATTTACTTTATATGTTAATATTTTATTCATATTAAATTTTATATCAGTTAAAATAATAATTTTAATTTTTTTACAGAAAATTATTTCAATCTACTATATAGTCCCACCGGTATATAGTGTTGTTTTAAGGAAAAATATTTCATTCTACTACATAAACTTAAAAAAATATTTCATTATCTCTTTAGTTAATTTTAGTGTTTTAAATTAAATTTGATATAAAATAAAAAAAATTAAAATTATAATTATAATTTAAAATAAATAAAAATAAAATAAATAAAATTCAAATTAAACTTATAATTTAAACTTATAATTAAAATATAGTTTTTATATTATAAAATCAATATTTTAATATTGTAATTATAATTTTCATGTGATAATTAAAATGATAAATAAAATTTTATATTAAATTATAATTTTTATATTATAAAATTAATATTTAATATAAGAACAGTTGAAGAACTGTTGCTTAATTAAGCACCGTTCAACAACATGTCAATCTTGGAAATAGCAAATATGAGTGCCATGTTGGCAAACCTACTCTAAGAACTCCCATTGGAGTTGGTCTTAGTTGTTTTGTCTTTTTAAATCCGAGTTCTTTTTTTTGAATAAGATAAATAAATAATGTTGGGTACAAACTAATTTCTCAATGAGTTTTTTATTTAAAACCTCAAATTCAACTTACTCAACTTTTATTTAAACTTTTGATAATTTTCTACCTGAACTCACTCATAAAATCCCTAAGAATGGTTAAATAAGTTCCATGTGAATAACTTTACATTTATTTAGATATGAGTCTGTTACGAGTCTAAATGTTTATATTCTCAAAAGTGAGAATAATTTTAGAATCCAAATGTTTATGACAAGGAACACAAGGGAACTTAGCTATAATGGGTACTCTGACAAGTTGGTTGTCAGCATAACGATTTGGGTAACGTACTAGATAATGCTATTAGGCCTAAAATAAGCATTATGGTTCGCTCGAAGTAACGTCAGGCAAGTATCACAGTAAAGTCGTAAGTCGCTCAAATTTGGCTTGGGCCACGCGAAGTGACTTCTTGGTTCATCTTCTTAATGAACATGTGAGTAGTGATTTGTCTCTGCAGTAACTGAGTGAAGGAGTCAATCAACGAATAAACTCATATTTCTCACTATTATATAGGGAAAATAAGCCTCACTCCATGTTTCAAAGAGAGGAGCTTGGATAATCGCTCACGTTTCAGAGAGAGATGAGCTTAGATAATCACACCTTGGTTATCAAACCATGGACTATGGGTATGTGTATGTTTGTGTGTTTGTGTGTGCGCGCGCACGCGCGTGTAAAAATCTTCTACGGAATTCCGTCTAAGAATTAATACATCCGTCAGATAGACCATTAAACCAAAATCGAGTTGGCATTGCCAAGGTTAGTGCAAACAAATTACACTTGGACGCGTCGTCAATGCTAATTAACTCAGTGGGTCACCCACAAGCTACATATGCTCATCTGGATCCTCTTTCATACTTGAGTTAAGGGAACTATAGGTGACATTCTGATACAAGATTATGCAAACAAGTTATTGTTTTTTGGTTGTGATGGAGTGATAATCGAATACCACTTTTTGGTATAAAAATATCAATGTAAAAAACGTGAATTTCTGATTTCTTGATGAATGATAATCGAATACCACCTTTTGGTATTCGAATACCAACAAAAAAATGAGAATTTATGACTTTTGGATTAGCGATAATCTAATACCACCTTTTTAGTATTTGAATATCAATGTTACAAATTTTAAGGGCATAATTAAAAATAGCTTAACTTGAGTTCAGAAACTCCGATTGAGGTGCGGTCAGATGCATTAGAAAGATAAAGTAAAGACCTATCTTGTGATAAAGTTTAATGATACTTATATGCATGTGTAATAATGTTATTAATAAATTATTTTAAGATAAAGTAGAACATGAATGAAATGTTTGGTTTAGCGAGAGTGTTGTAGTATGAATGTAGCTCGCATGTACTTCTATATTAGAGTTTAGCAAGAATGTTATAGTACGTACATAGATATCATGTGCTCCTAGGTTATTGAGTTCAACAAGAGTGTTGTAGTAAAAAACGTAGCTCACATATACTCCTAAACTATAGAACTCGGGAAGAGTGTTTTGGTACGGAATGTAGCCAGCATGTACTCCGAGAATATTCCATGAGTTTAGTGATTGGAACCATACACATAGAAAGTAGAGGATAAGATACATTATATAATCATTCATGTTAATATCGCGTAATGTCGTGTAATTGTGTGTATGTTGTATGATTATGTGTAATGTCGTGTGATTATGATATTGATTGTGTGTTATGACTTATGTTATCCTTTTATGTTATGATACGTTATAAATTGTAGAATGCATCTCTCGTCTGTTTCTATGTTCCTGTGGTATGAATCTATATGCATGGTATCCTCAGGTTGAGACGGGTGAATAGTTGTGTTGTTGTAAGGTTATTTAGGATGGTGTAAAAGACCAATCTACCATGCTTCATTTCTGTTTATGTATGCTGACGTATGAAGTCGGTTAGTGTGTTTGAGTTGTAATAAGGCTCTAGTATTGTGACATCGGGTTTGGGATTCACTTTTAAATTATTACGTTTGAGAATGTTTAAACAAGTACTCATATATGAGATATGTTTATGTTATTTAGAGTTGATATGATGTATTGTGTGTTATATGAAATAAATATTCTACAAAATTATGTTTTATAAAAAAATTGGGTTTTAGGGTGTTACACCGGTCGCCCCTATTATTGATATGGAAGAAGCAAATACTCTTGAAGTCGCCTAAACCACCAGTTATATGTCATCCATAAAACGCTTTATGTTGTTAGACCAACTCCCATTTGATGAGCTGGAAATTAAGAATATTCAAAAAAGCGCATCGAAATATACCCTAATGTTCGGAAAGCTCTACAAGATGGGAAATACCTCCCCCGTGTTGAAATGTTTAGGGGAGAGAAAAAATACTTTGGTCCTTACAGCGTTCTACTAAGGTACACACACTAGTCATATTGGCGAGTGAGCCCTTACTCACAAAATGCCCATGGTGGGTTTTTATTGGCCCACTCTGATGAAGGATATTGTATAATTTGTCATAAGATGTGACAAATTCCATAACAATTGACATATACATAAACAATGATAAATAATAATAACAATATTCATTGTAATATCAATTGCTCAAAATAGAAAATACTTGACAATCCAACACTTAAAGATTCCAGAATAAAATACAATATGATAAGAAAATTGCATAAATAACAAACTCCCACTAACCAAGTACATCAAAAGAACTCAAAATGCCCATGCTCTCAACATGGTTTTTGAACACAATGGGCCTAAGTCTCATAGCTAGCATGAGACCAGTACCAATGTACTTAACAACAATGCCATTTTTCTTTACAAGATATCTGACTATCAAATTCTGCAATTCCAAATGCTTAGAACCGCTAGAAGTTTTATTATTCTTAGAGTAGAACATAATTGCACTGTTATCACAGTAAAGCTTTAGTGGCTCAGTAATAGAATCAACAATACGAAGTCCAGTCACTGAATTTCTTAACCAAACAGCATGAGTAGCAACAACATAACTGTTAGAACACAAATTGGTTCTTAATAATAACTCTTTGTTTTGATGATAACTGTTAGAAAATTTATATTTAAGAATTATATACTCTAAAATTTGTTTGAGAGTTTTGAAGGTGAGAAAATACTTAGAAGGGGGGTTGAATAAGTATGACAGAAAATAATCAAAGATAAAAACTCAAGTATTTTTATCCTGGTTCGTTGAACTCAACTACTCCAGTCCACCCTTTTCAAGAGTGATTTGCCTTTCTCAACAAGGACTTAATCCACTATTCAAATCAACTGATTACAAATAGTAACACCTAAGAACAACTGTTCTTAGTCTTCTCAAGAGCTACTGATCTAACCTAGATCCTCTTAAGGAAAACTTCCTTTACAAATTAATGTAATACAATGTAAGAGTAAGAAATTGCTTCTAATAAAGC